AAGACTATTTCGTCACCTTCCAACCAAAGTATCGCGAGCGCCATGCGACGTTTCAAAATTTCCGCCGCCATTTTATTTTTTACAGAGGAATTTTTCAACGAAGCTGTCTGGAAATTTCACTGAATTTTCTTTGTGCCACCGTAAAATTCAGTGAAATTTTTAAACAGATTCAACCAACAATATCTCTGTAAAAACAGTAAAACTCTGTAAATCAACAATTTCTCTCTTTTTACAGAGAAATTGTTGGTTGAATCTGTTTAAAAATTTCACTGAATTTTACGGTGGCACAAAGAAAATTCAGTGAAATTTCCAGACAGCTTCGTTGAAAAATTCCTCTGTAAAAAAATAAAAATTGCGGCGGAAATTGAACGTCGCATAGCGCTTGTGATACTTTAGGCGGAAGGTGCCGGGTATTTTTTTCCGACTTTTTTTCGATTGCGAATCTGCGCTTTCAGAATCGGGCGGTCAGTGAAGGTATTTGTTCCGACGAGCAGCATTGCAAGCCTCATACTCCCTTTTTCTGAAAAAGCCCTCAATTAGCCATAGAGTCGTATGAGTGCCGTACAATATAGCCATAATTCAACTTTGTTCAGGGAAGGCACTAACACTACAAACAGGTACAGCACAAGTTTACAAAAATTTCACACTTTTCATAATAATTGGACGGCATTTTTGCCAAACGGAACTTTGTGCATTATGGCGTGAGCCCTGTTACGCATACATTCTTATGGGTCTCAGGGCTCATGTGGTAATGCACCTCGTTACGTTTGGCAGAAATACGTCCAATTATCCTATTTTGCGCAATCTGAGGCACCGAGACACGACAATGCGATTCAACAGGAAATTGTTTTCTCGTTTAAAATTTTTGTGGAATATTCTCGTTTACTTGAAGTCATTTTGTAATTTGTATGCTCACAAGAATGAAGCGTGATTTGTACGAGAATCTACGCAAGGAAGGTTTACTCACTCCAGAATGCGACAGAAAATCTGCCATCTAGATTCTTGTATTACTTCTCAATGCTAAACTAATAACAGCTGCAGGTTTTTTTTCGGACCCTCAAGGGAGTGAATTTATTTGGCTTGGATATTTTCTGATTATTTTTTTGAAAAACTTTTAAGGAAGCAAATAACGGAAAGTAGTGTTTTTTTCCTCCTTTTTTTCCTCGCGGCTATACTGCCGTGCTAAGGAAAAACACTGTATGAACCTGCAGGCGTTGCCAAATTTTCTTTGCTAAAGCGCGAATTTCCTGGTAAACTCATGAATATTTTCCTCCCAATTTTTCAGATAATTTTGTTCGCAATTTCACCTAAAGTTTCTGAAAATTCATGACTTTCCTAGAAAATAAACATTTCATCGAAGGGAATTCGGCAACTCTCGAATGTTCATACGGCGTTTTTCTTTAGCACGGCAGTATATTATTCCCCTTCGGAAAGTGGCTCCGCAAAAGCAATATTAAGCCTTTTCTTTTTCTGACTGTTGTAGAAATCGTGAAATCGTCAGGTTCTTACTGTATCCCATTATTAAGGGTTTAATTTCTAACGCATCTGTGACTGCTCGGCTCGAATACTTCTCTAATGTGCACTCATTTCTCTTATCGATTTTTTTGTGGGGCCCTAAAACTAGGTGGAATGCGGATGAGCGTAAACACAATTACTGCAGGTTATCTTCACCGAAGCTCTCAAGTTCCGAGTTTCACCGCCTTACCTAATTACTTTTCTTACAATTTTTAAGGCATGTTAGATACTCCAAACAAAAATATATAAAATAAAGAAAAACCTTAATATTCCGATCAATGGGCCTGTTGCAAAATTTCGTAGAGCAAAAATAAGAGTTGTTTCTATCAGTAACTGTCTCAAAATCACGACAAGGGCAAAGTTTGAAATGCACTGTTAACTTCACAATCTGCGAAAGAAATTTTCGTTGTTTTGAGCTTTCCGATCGAAAACGATACTACGGCACAGGTGAACATTTCGATAGAGGGTTCGTTCGATCCAACCCGTGTGCACTAGGATACTACACAATATTCAACATGGCTGACACCAATCCGCCAAAACACATGTGTCTAGACGAGATTCTAACCATTTTTTAACAACTCGGCGTGCTTACGTTCACGATTTCTTTGCGTTGATGGTTGATAAAGATCTGTTTTGGTCTTGTGCTCCCGATTCCGATTCGCGTGCAGAAGCGTCGGCTATTTGAGTATTGCTATGCGAAAGGGTTCAATGGAACGACTCCTCTAACGAAATGTTCTCCTGTGCCGTAGTATCGTCTTTGAAGCGGGAGGCTCAAAAAAACGCAAATTTCTTACGCAGATTGTGAAGTTAACAACTCAAGCACACGCATTTCAAACCTTGCCAATGCGCTCATCGTGATCGTTGAGACATTTACTGATAGAAACAACTCTTATTTTTGCTCTAGCGAAAGTTTGCAACAGGTTCATTTTCACTTCATTAGGAATTACAATTTCAAGTTTGATCGTGAAGTAGTTGAAAATACCTTTTAAATTAGGGACGGCTTGGTTAAAATATGAAAATCAAAAGACATTCTCTAACTGTTCGCAATATTTATACTCGGGCGGATTCTATAGCTAATGCAACTGACTCTCTCTTACCTAGAGTCCCTTTATACTGAGAGTCAAGACAATGCGAATCCATTTCTGATTGGTTAACCGTATTTTAGGCCTTCACAGTGTCACAAACGGGAATAAAGATTACATTTTCACCGATTGCAAAGATTATAATCTGGAATCTGGGAATTACGGGTTCGGCAAGGAACAAACGGAATGAGAGGAGGAACGGAGAAAGGCATTTGAGAATGGGCCGATCAAAGATTACGAAAAACGTTCAATTTCTGTAATCTTTATTCCCGTTTGTGACATCCATGAGCCGACTTGTCTTGACTCTCAGTATAAAGGGACTCTACTCTTACCCTGTCTCGTGGTCCTGTGCTTTCGTGCATAGGGCTGAAATCGACCCCCTTTCAAGTTCTCCACATCGGGTCACTAAGTCAGGCAAAGCTCATCCGTAAGAAACGGGTATAATTTGTCGGTGCTGGAGTAAAGTGGAGGAATTGCAAACTAAGACAGGATGCGCTGCGGGACAAGCCGGACGTGGAATTAGATGTTTTGCTCCTATCAACAAGTTTTAATTGATTTATGAAAACTTACAGCCCAGCACAACTTCCAAGCGCAACAAGTTAACAAATTGTGAGAGAAAAATTCCCCCCGGTCTCTCGTGCTTTTAATGATAATCCTACTTTTTATGCTCTCTTGTCCATCCGGGGAGGGGGTATCAACTATGCCGATAATGTATTTTATGTTTATTGTTTATCTTTCTGACCTCCTCTGCGCCAAGCTGTATTTAGCAAGGCTGCCAAGTTTTTTGTTCGGATTTTCGTGTTAATCAAAACCCCTCGTGGGTTTGCTGAGCATTCGACAACAATGCTCACTGTTTTATCAATTTCCAGTCGCTACAACGGATGCTCTCAGCAGCGTAGTTGCTTCATCGCTAGCAACCCTCACCGCCCAACACCCCCCCCCCCCCCCCCNCCTTGAAAAACTCGATGCACTGAATTTGGGGGAGAACGCTCTCCATTACTGAATACTGCACTTATACACTGTTTATTTTCTCCTCCCGTGATTTTTGGCAAGAGGAAATTAGTGGAATGGAGCTCATGCATGCCTACGCCGCGCCGCGCCGCGCCGCCGTGCTAAGGAAGAACGCTGTATGAGCCTTTAGGCGTTGCCAAATGCCCTCTGGCAAATCACCAATTTTCAGGAAAATTTTTGAATATTTTTCTACCAATTTCTCAGATAATATTGTTTGTAATTTGATCTAAAGTGTCTGAAAATTTCAAGAAAAAATATTCACAATTTTCCTCAAAAATAACATTTGATCCGAGGAAATTTGGCAACTCTCGAATGTTCGTACGGCGTTCTTCCCTAGCACGGCAGCACGGGATTTGCGACCCGAGTACTTTCTCTGAAGTAAAATTTTGCGCGAAACACGATGGTGTCGCTGGTTTTCTCTGAAATCAATTCCAAAGCTCGAAGAAAGCACTCACAATTGAGGCCGCAATCCCATGTAACCGTGAGAGTCCACCTCTGTATCTAGTCAAACTCTCTATGGAAAGATAGGGAGTAAATACAATAGCAGGATTACCGTGTTTTCAGTTTTGGAATTCCTAAACAAAATGGCAGTCGGCCAGGTTGGCCTAGTGGTTAGCGCGTCTGACTCTAGGTCAGTAGGTCCCGGGTTCGAATCCCAGTGGTGGCGACAAATTTTCATGGAACTGACGAGTGGATCTGTAAGCAGAATTCGCTCGGCCTTCATCCGTGAAAATTTGTAAGCCCGAGCATGGATGTCTACCAAACTCCCTGATGTCTTCGGACAATAAATAGTGCCTATAGATGGCTGTAGATTCCTAAAGGAATAGAAGCCACTAAACTCTCAATAAAAAAAAAAAAAAAAAAAAAAAAAAAAAAAAAAAAAAAAAAATTGCAACCCTGATAAAGTGTTTACTCCCTATTTTTGAATAGAGAGGTTGTCTTGATATGAAGTGAACCCTCAGGGTAGATCGGCATTACGGCCTCACCTTTAAGAGCTTCTTTTGAATTTGGGAGTTGATTTCAAGGAAAACATGCGGCACCATCGTGTTTCTCGCAAAAGTTTACGTAAGACGAAGAAGAGTTGCGTGGTTCGCAAATCCCTCACACACGCGTTAGCTCCATTAAAATAGCCTATATCAGAGGCTCGAATTTTTCGAGTCTGAGACTTGTGTTTTTGTTTACAATTGAACCAGCGAATATATCGATCTATCGAATGACGTAGTCACTAAATGATTTTATCGTATTGCGAGGAGTTGAAGAAAGTGTTGAGCTTCAATTGAGATAGCTCAAAAGTAGCTTTTTTTCAAATTTTAGTCACCATTTTCATTTCGCTTGCAAGTTGTAACTAATTCGACTTTTTCTAAGCTCTGAACTTTTTTCTATTTGTTGCAGACAACCCAGAGGCTGGGGTGCCGGACATGACCACCATATCGAACCTGGACGAGAAAGGGATCAACAGAAACCTCCAAGTTCGATACCTCAAAGATCAGATTTACGTATCCTTTTTTCAACCATTTTGTACGTACAAAAGCGATTCCAGTTTCCAAGTCGAGGATTTTAAACCTGCAAATAGGTTCTCGAGTATACCGTCCGTTTTAAGGTTTCTGGCCACCGTAGAAGTTATTTACCCCGAGGACGGTTGGTTCCTCATTTTTTGAGATAGCGAGTTCAACAAATGATTCAACTTTTTGAGATAGTGAGTCACTGTCTCAAATCGATTGTTTGACAATATTAAAGAGGATCTCGGTCTGTTTCGAATACTTCAGATTGCATTTAATACTCATACAATTATTATGCAAGGAGCATAGCAAGTCATTCTGTAATGTTTTAAGAGGGACTGTCTCGAAAATGGTAGACAAGGCGAATATTTTAATCGACAAATATTTTTGACAGTCCTTTTTTGTACACCATTATCATAGGGCAGAATGTTAAAATGTGAGGGTATGAGTTCGATTGACATGAATCGATCGACGATGAACCAATCGACACCGATTCGATCGACAAATTATTAAAAAAACCGGTTCGTCGATTTGATCTACATGAATCGATCGAAAAATAAAAACGTGAACCGAGCGACGTTCGACTGACATCGATTCGAATTCACGGGTTGGTCGATCTATTCACGGGTTTGTCGATCGATTCATGGGTTTGTCGATCGATTCATGGGTTTGTCGATCGATTCATGGGTTTGTCGATCGATACACGGATTTTGTCGATCGAATCGGTTCGATCGACTCCCGTTATTATTTTTCGATCGATCACGTCGATCGAATCGGCACCGGTTTTTAAACATTTGTCAATGGAATCGGCATTGATCGGCCCACGTCGATCGATTCGTGTAGACCAAATCCTTACTCTCCGATAAATGACGTCAGGTAGTCCTGCCGTGCTAAGGAAGGACGCCGTAGGAACATTCGTGAGTTGCCAAATTTCCCTTGATAAAACGTGTATTTTTGACAACATTTATGTATATTTTTCCTATTTTCAGATATTTTCGATTAATTTGCGTACAAAATTGTCTGACAATTTTGGAAAATAATATTCACAATTTTCCCAGTAAATTCGGTTTTTATAGGAGGAAAATTGGCAACGTCTGATGGCGCCTACGGCGTTCTTCCTTAGCACGGCAGCAGATTAGAGTCCCTTTATACTGAGAGTTAAGACATTGTGAATCCATCTCTGATTGGTTCCCGTATCTTAGGCCTCCAATCAATTTGTGTAATCTTTATTCCCGTTGGTGACTCCATGAGGGGGGGGGGGGGGGTGTCTTAACTCTCAGTATAAAGGGACTCTAGAGTAGATTAGAGTCCCTTTATACTGAGAGTCAAGACAACACACCTTCATGGAGTCACAAACGGGAATAAAGATTACACAAATTGAACGTTTTTTGTTGGTTTTTTGTAATCTTTGATAGGCCCTTTCTCAAATTCCTCTCTCCGTTCCTGCTCTCATTCCGTTTGTTCCTTGCCGAACCCATAATTCTTTGGTCCATTCCAGATTATAATCTTTGCACTCGGCGAAAATGTAATCTTTATTCCCGTTTGTGACACTGCGAAGGCCTAAAATACGGGAACCAATCAGAAATGGATTCACATTGTCTTGACTCTCAGTATAAAGGTACTCTAGAGTAGACGTCCTCTCAACTTGACTCGGGGATCCGACGGAGAAGCAGAGCGCGACCGCGGTAGAGGGTTCCCAGATTAAAACCGGACCGACGACGGAGGCGCCGGGAACTTGACCGCGGACTCCACTCGGAAGTGAGAAAATCCCGAGGGAACAACAAAGGATTGACGATTGAAGCGGCCGTCGCGTTGTAGTGGAAGTGGAGTTATTCAAAAAACGGCGCGTGCCGCAGATTGCCCCCACATTCACCTCACCCTCGAAGCCTCGATCCCCGGCCCAGGATCCAGNTATCGCAATTCACGCCACGCCACTGTTCCTCACCTCCGCTCGAGTTGCCAGGTGCCGACTGTGCCGCGTCGCGTCGCGCTACTCAACGAGATGCATTGAGTTTCTAATTACGTCGGATGGTTTTCGTCTCCTCACCCTTCCGCGGAGAGGCCCAGCAGGTGTTGCTCCTCTTCCCCTTGCGGGGTTGCGTCCTGGTGCAAGCAGTGAGAACCTAGAGTACCAGTATAGCGAGAGTATGGACAGATCGCTTCATGGAGAGCTTAGGGCCCAAAAGTGCAGCCACCCTTCTAACCAACTTCTGACGCACTAAATTTCACTGCCAGTCTGTGGATTCCAATTCTAACGAAGATGGCTAAGAAAGTACATAAATGAGCGTTCTTCCACAAAAATGAGTAAATTTAGGCAAAAACTAAGTCAAATGCGTGCTTTATAAACGATGGTTCGTAACAATTGTATTAATAAATCGTTCTGGATAATTGAAATTCATAGATTGGCTGCATTTCTGGGCCCTAACTTTATTCGCGGAGGCATCGGTGAAGGCCTGATGGATTTTCGGAGTTTCACATCTGTCTATACTCTCGCTATACAGGTTCTCTATGAGAACCTGTCCAGCCCAGGGAGCCGAGGGCGAGGGGCCACTGTCTCTTGAACTGTGACTTCATGAGGCCCGCTCCCGCTCAAAGGCCGCTTTTGACACAATTTGGAGGCCATGATAATATGAAGCAGGAAAGAAGGCCAACTTGCGCACTGTGTGTGGCATGAGTCCAGTCCCTGCTAAGTTCTCAGGGTGTCTACCGGTTCCAAAAGTCCCCAATGCCCCCGATTATCCCCGATTTTGGAAGGATGTCCCCAATACCCCCGAAAGTTCCTAATTTTCTTGTTCAGGTCCCCGAAAAATGACAAAAATCGTCCTAAACACCGGCATTTGCAATATGTCCCGCCAGCCGCCGCGGCATGGCGCGGTATAACCAGGAATGAAAAACTGAGATGTTGCTTGGTTTTTCGTATGTTTTCATCGGTTCAACTTAACTTGTAAAATTAGTCGTATAAAATACGCCTTTTAACGCTCTAACTAGCTCCCTTTCTCATACTATTTCGGGGGAAAAAGTCCACGATTTTCTTATAAAAACTCCCCTAGAAGTCCCCGAAAATCTCCGATTTTGGTTTTTTATAACTGGTAGATACCCTGGTCCTTCTCAAAAGAGAACCAGCCAGACCAAAATTGGCAAATGAAACGAGACGCCTACTCGTCAAATGCTCCCCGGATTTTGAGTATGATTTTGCGGAAGTCGGAAATTTTCGAAGACCAGCGAACTGACTATTGAAATTGATAGACAAAGCGACAGACAAAGTAGACACACCTGAAGCGACACTGTTAAAACTCCGGCGCGCATCTCGCGCTCTCTCAGTTGGCATACTGGCCAGGCTGCGCTCCGATGACATGGCTCCGACGCCAACTTCACTCTGAGCGAGTATCATGGTGGGAGTTAGAGTCCTTTTATACTGAGAGTCAAGACAATTTGAATCCATTTCTGATTGGTTCCCGTATTTTAGGCCTCCACAGTGTCACAAACGGGAATAAAGATTACATTTTCACCAATTGCAAAGATGATAATCTGGAATGGACCAGGGAATTACGGGTTCGGCAAGGAACAAACGGAATGAGAGGAGGAACGGAGAAAGGCATTTGAGAATGGGCCGATCAAAGATTACGAAAAACGTTCAATTTCTGTAATCTTTATTCCCGTTTGTGACATCCATGAGCCGAATTGTCTTGGCTCTCAGTATAAAGGGACACTAGTGGGAGTCATCGGTCCAACTCATCGGTCAACATAAAAGTAATTTCTAGGGATGAGTGGTAGAGCCAGGGCTGGATTTACCTACTCGCCGCCCATGGGTCGCCTGTCTTTTGCCGCCCCCTTCTCATTCGTTTTGAAACTAAACAAAAACCATCAAGTGAGCGTGCCAGCGGGGGAGGGGTGCATAAGACGCATTTACTCGTGTTGAAAATATTTATGGGGAAAGCTCTGTCAACACTCCTAGCAAAAATTCATGGAACTTTGCGCGAAAGTTATGTTTCGTAAACCTATCTCGGTATGGACAAGGCCTTCCATTCGTAAGAAATGAAAGAAAAAATTACCTATGAAAGAACAAACATAAACGTGGTTTAATGATTTTAACTTCCGCTGCCTCGCCGCGCAGACCGCACTGTATTTGGCGCAATGCGTGAAGTATTCCGAAAGTCTTGTAGGCGCTATGCGTTTCACGCCGACCGCTGCTGGAACGCACTGTGTTGGACGCAATGCGTGAAGTATTCACGCAATCTTGTAGGCGCTATGCGTTTCACGCTGACCGCACTGTGTTTGGCGCAATGCGTGAAGTATTCATGCATTCTCGTAGGCGCTATCCGTTTCACGCTAACCGCAATGACCGCACTGTATTTGATGCAATGCGTGAAGTATTCGTGCAGTCTCGTAGGCGCTAATATGTGTTACATGCCGATCGCCGCGCCGAGGGCTTCTCCTTCTCATCTCAAGTCCTCGTCATCATTTCTCTCTAAGTCATTCATTTCTCATCATCATTTCTCTCTAAATTGCGTGTTTGGTTTCTCTCTTAATTCGACTAATTAAAGGTGCTGTCTCTTGTATCACTAAGAGACGACACAATTAGAAATTACTATATTCTCAGGAAATGAGAGATTTTGTCGCCTTTTCTCGTTGGAATTTTTTTTTTTCTAAATCTGATTTTTTATATACCTACACTTAAGTAAATTGCAAATTTTTGCCGCCCTCTAGATTTGCCGCCATGAGCCGCGGCCCATGTGGCCGCCCCCTTAATCCGGCCCTGGGTAGAGCCCGAATGTAGCAATTTTCGACTGTTGTCAAGAAGCCAGCACATAGAGAATCGCTGTTTGATCCAACCTATCCGAATCCAGTGGTGCCGAGGGTGTTCCCGCGATATGTCCAACATCTGTGGAATTTCCCGGTGCCATCATCATCATTCACCAATGCACGGTGTAGGGTAAAATGAATTCTGATATTTTCGCAATCCCAGGAAAAAGCAGCAAGTTCGAGCTGAATTTTGT